CATTGATTGACACGCAGCTTTAAACGGTGAATTATTGCGAGACTGAATCCATTTTAACATGAATTTTAGCCTAGATAGCTTGTATAGACAGACGCACCGGATCATACTTCTTGTTAAGGTATCAGAAAAGGCATAATTGCTGCTAAATGTGTAGCCATTTTAGCCATTTAGCAATTTGTCAATGCTACAAATGTTGAGCTAAAGGCTAGATATTAGCATTAGCATTAGCCTATTAAAATGACACACTGCTTTTGTTGATCAATATGAGAAGCGATTGGAACAGACATTTTTTTAATATAAGGGGATTATTTAGGTCTTTGTGTTTTTATTGTTCAGTAAAAACAATAATAAGGATTTAATAACATGGATTTAAAAACATATAATATATTTAATAAACCTGATATCACTATAAATTCACTCTAAACATAAAAAAATAAAGCTGCTTGTAAAATTGCAAGTGTAATAATGATAGTAACAAAGCTTTTCTCTTAAAGATGCACTATGTAACTTTTTAGCAGAGGGTCCATCACCTGTGTGTGTTAATGGAGATTGTTTTGCCTATACTGTCCTACAAAGGCAGAACGCTGTAACATCACGTTTGGTCAAAAATGAGTTAATGTAATTTTTGGGGGTACTTGAGACCTCTTTTATCATGTGAGTGAATATTGTGAAAAATATTGAGCTTATAATTGATCTGTGACCCTTATTTGTCAGTTCCTGTACTCTGCCTTTGTGTCATGAGTCAAAAATAAGGAGTCGTGCAAAGGCAAAACTCAGTAATAGTGTATGTTTTGTTTGTGATTTAGTTAAAACATATATTTCACTTTAAAATCCAACTTCTCGCCTCCTTTTTGTTGCGGCCTTGGCACACGGTCTTAACACATTAAATACATATACCTTTGTATTCAGTTATACTTAAATATTAAAAAATATTTTGTGCATTTATTCATACTTTACGTACTATACTGCAAAACGTGTCTGTCAAACTGTTGAACTGTGTATTGCCACATGATCCTGATCAGCACTAAACAGGAAATCCAAAGCTCTCCTATATCATTTCAAACAAACACCATGATGACTCGACCTTGGTGAGGTATTTTTCTTATAATAAATGGAAGTCTGTCAGTTTTTGCCTCTTGTCTTTGCACAACTCCTTATTTTTGGCTCATGATACAAAGGCAGAGCACAGGAACTGACAAATAAGAGTCAAAGGTCAATATTGAGCTCAATATTTTTCACAAAAAACTAGAAACTACTTACCGCCGTACCTATTATACTTTTGTCTAGACAAAACAGAAACTTTGAAGTCATTTTTCTCAGTTTCACACACTGGCGAGTTAAGGTTTTTTGCCTTTGTAGGGCAGTATAATGTTCCGCAGTATGACATTAAACTTATTTGAAGTTCATTTATTCAATTACAGGTGTTTTAATAACTTTTTTTTTTTTTTTAAGTACCTTGAAAGGCGTTTATACTGTGGACGGTCTCTCTTCTGTAAGAAATGCGACCTGTATTTTTGTCTTATTGTGAAACATATTGGACAAAACTATCATCTCCATGGATACTCCACTGGAAAAGTGACAGTGTGCATCTTTAACCTGGTTTTACAGTTCTAATTCCCACAGTTGTTTATGTCATCAAGTACATGTCTATGGATGTTTTCAATAGTCAATATGAGAGAGTTCTGCCATGGCAACACAAACGACCAAAACGTGAAAATTTCTGGTCAGAACTTTTTCATATTCGTAACTCTTGTGGTTTGGTCTTTATATTAAGTAGCTTTAGCGTGCGAAGAGCAGGTATAACGTATGGAAAATGTGTCAGAAGTACCTGCCTTCTTGCGCTAACCCTACTTCAAAGTTTGTGTCACTGTGGCTTATAGCGACTTTGTTTTGTTTTTGTAGATAAGTACTCTGTTTTGAGGGAGAAAGAGCAATAGAAAATGCCTTTAAAACATCTCCCCTTTTTCAGGTACTTGATTGTGTGTCTATGAAGGCACAAAATGGCTACCTATGCTTGAACTGTGTGTGCCGCTGACTGACTTCCATGTCTCTCTTCTCACTCACCCCACCTGTCTGTCCCCCCTCCTCTTTACCCCATCTCTCATAAAACATCCATTTATTATTGCTTTATTATTTTATTGGCTGGTTGCTTTCAAAAACCATGCATGCACTTCCATATGTTTATCCATCTTCTTTATACCAAACTTGAATCCATTTTAGAACCAGGTTGACGGTCCGACTGTGCGGCAGAGCGAACCGTGCGCCCATACGCCCAATGAGCACCCGCTAGGCTTGGGCGGCCCTACACAGAATCCGTCCGTCACGGGCAACACCGCCGGCTCCGTCCCCTCTCGCTACCAGCCCCCCGCCTGCTGCGATATACCCTGCGCACTTATCGTACAGCACTCCTACGAGCCCACCAACCCCCCCGAGATCGCGCCCAAAATGAGAATGAGCACCTTCACCACCTCGCCCCCCACCCCAAGGTTATACATTCAGTAGAAGATTCGAAAAATACTTGCTTTGGTTAGTAATTCATTAGAAAATAGATGACAAATACTTCATAAATGGTAGGAGTCGAACTTGTGTAGCCACTGCCCAATCTGCACTAGAAGCAAATGCACCTTTTTAGATGTAAACTTATTTGCAGTTCTGCCTTGACGCCACAAGAGGGCAGTGTCCCTCTGTTTAAAGGCAAACCAAGCATTGTATTGTACAGTTACAGAACACTTAAGAAAGGTTAGTTATATTCACCTTTTAGAGATTAAGTGCAATGCTGCCTTTACGCCACAAGAGGGCACTGTCTCTCTGTTTAAAGGCAAACTAAGCATTGTAATGTACAGTTTTGAATAGGTTATATTCATGTTTAACAATATTGTGCTTTATTTTGAAAAGCTTTTACAGGTCAGTGTATATTAAACTGCAGAAATCTATTAGAAATTAACATATTTTTTATTAAGAGTAGCTTTATTGATAGTTACACATTATGAAAATAAGTTAAGGCAGCCAGCTTCTTCGCACCCCTCCCCCCTTCTCACTCTGTTTGCCTAGAAATCAATCTGTCTCACCTCATTTCTCTCAACAAAGTGTGTATGATAGTAGTAATAGTTGTAGTGGTAGTAAATAGCAGAAACAGCCAATTCCTGCCTTCCGTCCTCCTTTCCCCCCAATGTTGTCACTTCTTTAGATAACCACCAGGGGCCGCTACTGCTCTCCCTTTGTGCCACTCAGCCGCATACACAACTAGGGCCAGAGGTACCTGCAAAAACCAATGGACACGGTCAGTAACAAAACCAAAAACCCCCAAAGCCCTTCAGATATCCCCGTGTGTCCTTGCCTGTCCTAAACCCCGAAACGACCACGCTCCCCTCCTCCACTTTTCGGTCTCCGCACCCCCGAGAAGCACACTGCCCCCTTTAAGTGTGTATGTGCACCAACTGTCCACAACTTTGCCCCTTTAAGATCTCACTCTTAGACGAAACGAGCACCCGATTTTGCCTTTTTGCACCCTTGTATGTACTAGCATGGACCACCTTCAACTGACAATCACCCATACTGTAATTTAAGCTAAGATATTAAATGTGTAGAAGTGTATTCTTTAAGTTTCCTTTCAGTAGCTTAAATCTGTTGAATGTTATGTTATAATGATTTAAGTAAGAGTTTACATCTGGCCGCTGTTGATTCACATGAAAACGAGATGTTTGAGATCTCACTGTGAATTCTTGGCATGAACGCCGGATGGATTAAAGAATTAAGCGGTTATTTTAAAGGTGCGCTGTGCAACTTTTCTGCTACCTGCTTGTCTCCGTGGAGATTGGGTATCGCTTTGCCGAGTTTCGCAGTATGGCATTCAACTTATCTATCTTGCATTTGCATCCTGACTCGATTGTACGTGTTTTTATTGCTTAAAAATCATCGTTCTGGCCGTGAGTGGGGTCGCCTTTCCACGGATCCCACCTAAATACGTTTAATGCCACACTGCGTAACATCCCAGGCAAAGCTATAACATCTTCATATATCTGAATGGCATAGCTTCTACCAGAAAAGTTACAGAGTGAATCTTTAAAGTAAGTTCTTCTGTATTCGTAGTAGTTGATAAGATGTTTGACACTTGCACGTTTTTGCTCCTGTAGTCCACTTAAGCTGCTCCCTTAAAGTCCTGATAAGTTTGTGTATAATTCTCTATTTCTGACCACTTCTCATAGTGTGCTTCTCTATCCCTCCCCCCATCTCCTCCCAACCCTCACCTCTTCCTCCTCCTCCTCCTCTTCCTCCTCTCCTCTTCCTCTCCTCCCATCACTAATGCAAATTATTATGCAATTCTTCATGCACTGGGTCACTTGCATTATGTTGTCACGCTCAACATTTTCGACTCGGATTCACTCACTGACTTCCTCTGCTTTCTCCTATTTTCATTTATTTTAAACCACTTCTCTTCCTTTATCATGATTTTGTATTCGATTCAATACAAACGCAAATTATTTTCTTTGGTATCATATTTTTGATAACTTCCATATTGGATTTCAATTTAACGTTTACCTCCCCAATTTCAAATTCATCAAATCTTTCTCATGAAAATTGCTTTTTAAACATGCAATAATCCACAAACATATTTTTTTCACTAAACCAATCAACCAAATTTGACCTCTCCACTGTTACTTTGACATACGAATCCCAATTTTGGATATTTGGCTTTCCACAATTATCAACTTCCTGCTCCCTACGTAATCATTGCCTTTTTATATCACACTTTAAACCATATTTTTATCATATTTCTCCTTAAATCCACCAACTTTTTTCATTTGCACTCGATTCAATTTACATTATTAACCTTTCTGCCATCTTACCAAATTACTTTTTTGAACATTCAATCAACTTTTGCATATTATAATTTTACTTTTGACTATTTCCACCACTTAAACATCAATCTCGTACGCATCCACCAACCTTCCACGCTCCACTCCCCCACCCTGTTTCCTCCTCCCTCTCGCCCCCTGCAGGACGATAAGGAGATCGACTTGGAGCACCTACACCGGCGCGTTAACAGCCTGTGCACCGAGGACGACAGCCCCCACAAGCAGTTCTCCACCTCTTCCGTTGACCTAACGCCTCTCGACATGGATGCCCTCCCGGCCGCTCGCCAAGCCCTAGAGCAGATCAGCGACTTCCGTAACACCCACATCACCACGACGACCTTCATCCCAGAACAGATCCAGACGCTGAGCCGAAGCCTGTCCGCCAAAGCCGCTGCCGGGTTTTCCGCTGGGTTCGGGGGAAGTGGCGGGGGCGGACTGCAGGACCACCGGACTGGGCCGTTCAGGCAGAGGGCTCCAAATGGTGGGTTTTTCCGGAGTCCGATCAAAACAATGTCCTCCATTCCCTACCAGCCGACCGGACCCGGGCCCAACTTCGGATATGGCAACGATCCGGACAGGGGCACCTCCATTTAAAGAGGCGAGATTCAGCAGAAGAGAGGGGAGGTTTGAGGTGTAGTCTCTGTACATAACAAATCTATAACAAGTCTATTTTGAGATTAGGACGGGGTGATGAGTGAGGTGGTCCTGCATGGCAAAAATGTGTTGTCTACCTGAGGAAAAGGGACTTGAAATCTGAATATCAGTCTTTTCTTTGGTAGTCTGAAGAATTTAGGTTTATAAAATTCTCTTAGATCATTTGCTGTGATTTGAGAGATTCTTGGCTCTTTTCAAGCTAAATTACCTAGCAGTTCGAAACACTATTAACACTATTATTGTGCCCCCCCCTCCTCACTGTGCCACCTGGAATCCCCAGCGGTCTCCTATCCAAGTACTAACCAGGCCCTGCTTAGCTCCTGAGATCTGACAAGATGATTATTATGGTCACTTCACTCAAGGTAATGTGGGTAGATGCAACAAGGCCAGTGTAAAAAGCCTTTCATTTCACAGTGTTTGGTTTGTTCCTATAAAAACAATGGAAAAGTTCCTGGCGAATAATGAAAAAACACCTTGAAAGCAGCCACAACCAAGATACACTAGGTACTATTTTGAGTAGTGGGTCAGCCACCTTCTTGTCTCCAGGGAGAGGTTATTCTTTTAAATCAGGGGTGTCAAACTCAAATTCACAGAGTGTCAACATTAAAAACTGTGACTATGTCGTGGGCCAAACTAAATATTTATTGAAAAATTTCAACAACATCTGCATGTTTTCTCTAAGCATAATATAAAATAATAACAACATTTTAAATAAATAATGTCTCTATAGCCTATCTGTAGCCGGCGGGCCAACCATATTTGATATGAACTTGTTGGCCAAATTTGGGCCCCGGGCCACGGAGATGGATACTTTTAATGATATACTCTGGAACATTCTGGACAAAGCATGCACCTTTAAAACAAGTCTAATAATCTGAGTCTAATAAGGAAATAAAACTTCTCAAAACTGCTTAAATCAAGATTGGTTTTCAGATTTGAAGTCATTTACACATGTTGATCCACACATTTTTGCCATGTAGCTGAAGCAGGTTTCGATCTTTGCTTTGTTGATGTCGTCGTTGTGGTTGTCCGTGATTCTTTTGGGGGATGTGTGTAACTCTTTTTAGTTTTCCTTTTTTAGTTTTTATTTCATTATCGTTCCTTTTTATGACTTGAGGACTGCCACGTGCGCAAAGACGATATGATGACCTTAAAATCCAACACCAGGTTGTTGGTTAAACTCCAGGGCTGCCTCTGCTCAGTGGCCTCTATGTGAACAATCCAAAGGAGCTCCAGCATTTTAACAGTGCACCAAGCAGTCTTATAGGCCTGTGTACGGATTCGAGTACAGCTCCAGAACGGCGGCTTGGGTCACAGACGAACTCGCAGTTGCACCTCTACTATACGCCATAACAGTGCTACGAAGAGACACTGTCCACACGTTCTCTGCCATTTTGGTGCAAAGGCCTACAACTGTTTTCCTCCTTACGAAAACCTGGTAAACGTCACCGCACTGTACCATGTACCAGTGCACAGACAGACCTATAAGTTTGATTGTATTCCAGAGCTGACTTTTTCTCATGCGTACTGTGCTCTTGGCTTTTCCAGGTATCTCCCGGGGAATCGTTAAAAGGAATTATAAAAAAGAAAAAAAAAAAACTACTTTAAGAAGAAAAAAATGAACCTTCTGCTTATTCTATGTCTTTTATTGATTTCCGAAAAGATTTGAGTTTGTGGAATGTGTTTTGGTGGGGAAAAAAATGACATTGTTTGGAATTGTCTTAAATGTTCCTTTTTTTTCTTGAAGCGAACTTTGGGAAATTTCAAAACTAGTGCTTAATTTGTCTGTTTTGCACCATTACGTCACGCATTTTCGTTAAAGGTTTGGATGAAAATTTCGAAGTCGGTCATCGGTGAAAGGTGTCTGAAGGTAGAAAGAAGAAGCCATTTTGAACACCTTCTTCGAACAAGCCTTATATGTTTTTGTTCGTCACTTTAGATAGCTATCTTCACTCTCCCGCTGTCAATCAAAACCCCAAACCGTGAATGAACATCAAGTTAGCAGCCATGTGAGCTCTGGCTAACTTTTTAAGCGAGAATTCTCCTAATGTTTAATCCTGTAATGTTAAGGTTTCTATAACTTGTTTTTTAAAAGTGCCAATTATTAAAAATGACCATTAAGGTGCATTTTGGGATTGGGGAAAGGGGATAGTACAATTCTTGGGTTTCGGTCACTTGACTTTTTACTGTTACGGGCACCATTTTGAGAACTTTATATCATTCAAAAGATAGGATAATTTGTTTAGGATTGTTAATTGCATCTGTACCAATGTCCATCTCTGAAACCCATGGATAGATGCACTACCTTTTTGTGAACAACAGGGGGTGGTCAAATAAAACCAAACGTTTTTTTGTTTCTTTTTTTCACTAACACTGTATTAATAATCGATAATGTTATAGTTGGTTAGCTTTCCGTTTATCTTTAAGGACTAAAAACCGCAAATTGTCGTGCGTAGAGATCACGTTTCGAGCATATATTGTAAGGCATTTTTCTTTCTATTAGGCTTTTGAATGACAATATAGGACACATTAAAAGTTTTATTAAGTATAAATGAGAGAGTTATAAAGTGTATATTTTACATAACTGTCGATGCTATTTTGTTTAACAGAAGAGTTTATCATGACGAGCTTTAGTGTTGCGTTCGGCGGTCATGTGACTGCATTTACCCTTAGCCCCGCCCCCTCTAATGGTCAGTTTCAACTCAACCCTCCGCTTCTCCACGCCATTCGCTCTTGGTTTTATTATTTGCTGGCTAAATAACATTAACGGGCAAGTTGATTAAAAAGAAAGCATGCACAAACTTGCTACCTTGCGCTATCTGTTAACCTTTTCTTTTTCCTTCATACATAGGACTCCAGGATTTACTTGATAATTTTCAGATTTCAGATTGATGTACAGTATTTAATATAGGCCTATTTTGTTGTATGTGTTGCATATTATTCAAAACCTGAACAAACTGGGGCCTCTGTTACAAGTGGCAAGCTTTCTGTGTATAATTTGTCTAATAAACAAGTTTTCTACACTGGGAGGCTACACCTGTTTTTACTTTTCGTCAGCCTCATAGCATAATGTTCCACAGTATAGCATTAATACATCTAACTTGCATCTATTAAATGACCGGTATGTATGCATCCTGAATTTCAGACTTCTGGTCATCGTGCAATGCATACTGGGATGGATCCTCCGAAAAAGTACGCATAAAACCGCCATGTTTGATTTCACAGTGGGATGCGTCTATTGTCAAAGCCGATCTTTCCAAGTCTTTTGAACCACTTTTGTTTCTGGTTCTTATTATATTGTCATATTTTAGTTATGGGATTCGGACATCGTAATTGTTTGGTTGTTGGATGTCCTGACAGCGGAAAAGGGGCTTTGGAAGTTTGCGAACTCCATAACTGCAATAGGGAATCAGATCTGTGTGTGACTGCAAACCTCCATTCAAACTGTTTCTTTTCCCTACGGAATTGAAAAATAGTGAAAGGCAAAGGCGATGGGCAGTACTGATACACAGGAAGGACCAAAAAAGGAAACCGTTGGCTGCCGAAGAAATCATCCCGAGTTTGCAGTGAATATTTTGTATGTGGAGCGCCAACAGAGCAAAATCCTGATCCCTCAACTCAACCTTGGTTATGAATTTAAAAAGTCAACACCAAAGCGAAAGGCATCAGCTGTTCACCAAGAAACACCTTCCACTGCAAAGTGACCAAGACGTGATGTTGCCGTAAAGCCACAAGAACAAGAAAGTGCGAGCTCGGCCTGTTTGTCTTCTGTACTTCTCGCTCCACATACACAATGTTCGCTGCAAACTCAGGATGATTACTTAGGCAATCAACAGTTACCTTTTTAGGTCCTTCCTGTGTATCAGTACTGCCCATCGCCTTTGCTTCCTTCTTTCACTATTTTTCAATTCCATTGGGAATTGAAACAGTTTGAACGGAGGTTTGCAGTCACACAGATCTGATTCCCTTTTGCAGTTATGGAGTTTGCAAACTTACGAATCCCATAACTAAAATATGACAATGTCAGAACCAGAAACAAAAGCAATATGGTTCAAAAGACTTGAAAAATCGGCTTTGCCAATAGACACATCCCACTGGGAAATCAAACATGGCGGTTGGATACTCACTTTTTCAGAGGACCCTTCCCAGTATGCATTGTGTGATGACCAGAAGTCCAAAATTTGGGATGCATGTATTGTTATTGCTTACAGGTCACCTCTCCTCAGATCTGACCTGTGTGACATCACCTTCCTTCTCCATGGAAATAGATACGTTCAATGCCATACAATAGATCTTTTTCACAACAGCCACATGTAGGGTAAATGTAATTCCCAGTTAATGCTTTTCTATGGCAAAATATCTGTGGAAATGTATTTTCCACCAGTTTCATAAATCTGCCCCATCATCAAATCTTCATCCAACAAGGTCGACAAAGAACATATTCTGTCCATGAAGAATTTACGTTTACTGTACATTGCGGCATTTCCAGCTGGTGTAAAAAAGGTCCATGACATCTCCATGGAGACAAACAGGAAACAGGCAACAAGTTTTCTACAGTGTGAGGCTACACCGGTTTTACTTATTAGCCTCATAGCAAAATGTTCCATAGTATGGCATTAAACACATCTTTCTTGCATACATTACAGATGTTGTTATTGCTTAAAATCTGTCTTGGAAACCATTAATTAATATAGCAGAGTCACCTCTCCATAGACCTGACTTTTGACTTGGCCTGGTAGCATTAACTTCCTGTCTCCATGAAATTACATTCACTGCCACACAATAACGTGTCCATGGAGACGGGTGTGAGGCAATTCACCAGGAAATTTACATGTTTTGGCTCAAGCTGAGATTTCTGTTTAACTTTACTCTCCAGGCACAAAAAAATGTCATTGGCGACAAAAACTCAGCCAATCAGAAGGCTTGATATTACATAGTCA